GGTTCAATCAGGTGCAACAGTGACTGGTACAGGACAAAGGAGGAGGAATGATCTGGTTCCCAAAGCTGGGGATTTAAATGTGGAGATCTCTCCCTGTCTGTGCTCCAGGGTGGCAGTGCAGAGGAACCTAGCCACACTAAGTGAATGGCATGATGGGAGCCATGGGAACGTGGTTCCTTGGCTCTGGTTAGCTCCTACTGGGTATTGAGTAACTTTGCGTGACAGGAGCAGGGAAGCTGGGGAGACAGATGAGGCCAGAGAGGAAGAGTTAAGATATGCAGATTTCAGAGACTGCGGAGGCCAGGAATGACTCTGTGGAGCATAACAGCTGGTGCTCTGGGGAGCAAATAGTCCATTTCAAGATGCGGAGAACTGGTGTCTGGTGGCCTAGGGTTGCTGTTGTCAGCAGTTACTAGAAAATGTTTCGAAGCAAATATGCTTATGCAAACACACCCATGCGTACTCATTCATTCCTAAATACAATCTGAGCTTTTTTTCCTACAAAGCCAAAATGCCTACAAAAGTGTTTCTGCGTTTTATTTACTTGGAGAGTAACACACTAGGTTTCCCTTCCTGCAAGAGCTGTGTGTTCCCCTTGGAACTTGGAATGCAGAGCAGGTGATCATGCTAGACCCGTGCTAGATTTTCCTTTTCTGAATGTTTGGTATCATCAGGCTTTACTTATAGGCAATTGTGTGGCCATGTCTCTCTTCATGTGGCTTCAAGACAATATCCCTCATGACCATTTCTTAACTCTGGTAATTCACAAAGTGGCTTGCACTACCCTGGGAAATGATGTGAGAAGGACTTCAAAAACCCCTGGTGGCTGAAGAATGGTTGAGGTTAGGAGCCAAAACAAACGGAAGGATGGCCATGGTGCCAGGCAGGAGATGAACATAAATGAAAGAAAACCAGCCACCAGATCAACCTCACATGTCCTGCACATTGCCTCAGAGGCTGTGGAATAGTGGCTCTGGCTTCCCCAACCAGTTCCCGAGCAGGAACTTCCTGCATCCTGAGGCTGCAAGGTGCTCTTCCCATCACAAAACAAGAGAATGTGAGGTCACTGTCAGAAATCTGAGCCTGGGGTGAGAGTCAGCTCCTACCTCTCTGATACTGAGCTTGAGAGCTAAGTATGCTTCGACTCCTGGGGAGTGCCCCTTGGCTACATCTTGTCACCTCCCATTGCCAAAGCCATTCTCAAGTAGCATAGGCCAGTTTGCGTGGTTGAAGAACCTGGCTCTGCAGTCAAGCTGTGGGACAGTCTAGGAGTCAAAGGTGAGGAAATGGGGGAGGGTATGCATTAAAGAGACAAAAAATATTTTGTTTTTTAAAAATTTTATTTATTTATTTATTTATTTATTTATTTTTTGGTGCTGGTGTCTGAAGCGGTACTGGGACTGTGGAGTCATTACCTGCAGGGGATGGAGAACTCTGCCAATCTGAAAACTTAACAGTCAGTAGTGAATGTAGCTCTGAATCAGCCACCTAGTGCTTCTCTTCTGTGTACATTGTTATAGGATCTATTTAGAAGAGAGAGCCCACGGGGATGTCATATGGGCTGGGTAACAAATAGGTTGAATACAGGAAACTCCCATTTTGTAGGTTAAAAGTTACAAAACGCTTTTGAGAGTGGCTCCCATTTTGATCATTTTTTGGGCCTGTAAAATGGCTGTTCTGGGAGGTTCTTATATTTTCTAGAATTTTATGCCTGGATCTATGCTAGGCACTGTGGAGGTACCAGAAATGTCAGAACCACCATTGTCTGTGGGAGTCAGCCTGCTATGACCCATGGGCCAAATCTGGCCCAAAGCCTGTTTCTGTAAAGTTTCACTGGGACCCAGTCAAGCCCCTTTGTGTACTTACTCTCTGGGACTGCTTCCATGCAACCAGAATTGTTTAGTTGAACAATGACTATACCATCTACAAAGCTTAAATAGTCACTGTCTACTCCGCTACAGAAAAGTTTGCTGACCCCTGTGTCACATAATGTGAGAGACAATGGTCAAACATAAACACTACGGTTTTTCATTGATAATCTAACACCTCTCCTTTTTCTGTTTTCCCTTTCATCATCATTCTTTTTCCTCCTCGAAATGTCTGAATTTCTAGTCTCCCCTTTCCTCAGTCTCCTTCACTGTTCTTGCTTGTTCCTTGTTTATTATTCCATGTCCCCATTCCTTCACGCTCTTCTCTGTTTATCCCCCCCTTCCCCTGCTTCTTCTCTATCCTAGTCCATCAACACCCATCTCTTACTTCTTCTTCCACTTCTTTCCCTTTTTCTTTTCATCAGTGCCTCCTCCTTGGAACATGTTGGCTCCATTGACTTAGGAGGGGTGGGATGGTTCTTCATCTTGCCATTCAGAGCAGCCTTCTCTTGTTTCAACACAGTCTTTTGTTGGTTTCCCTCTTCAGATCTGCCCAGCCTGTGGAGCGGGTCTGATATTTAGCTTGCGAGGAAAAGTAGCATGTCCGAATCAGTGACCATTTACGTTGTTTGGCTGTCTGCCCTGATTGGTCAGTGTTGAATATATATATATATTTTTAATTTATTTGACAGACAGAGATCACAAGTAGGCAGAGAGGCAAGCAGAGAGCAGAGGAAGCAGGCACTCTGCTGAATAGAGAGCCGGATGCGGGGCTTGATCCCAGGACCCTGAGACCATGACCTGAGCCGAAGGCAGAGGCTTTAACCCACTGAGCCACCCAGGCACCCCAGTGTTGAATATTTTGAAAATCATTCCTGCTATGAGATCATCTGCTTTAGCCAGCCAACCAGACAGCTCAAAGTTTAGAAATGCCGTGCAGATACCCTTCATTAGGAACTCTGTTAGTCCGTGTTTGTGGGCTTAGCCTCTGAAGTTTTATTGCTCTTGCTGTTTTTAATAGCATTGTGATATCCAGAAATTAAGTCCATTCAAAATTAGGTTGGGTCTGTGTGATGGTTGATGCCTTTCTTTCTACAAAGTAATGTTTTGAAACTAAGACACTTGTTGTCAAATGCTTCTCAGAAGCATACACCATTGGTTGCTAAAGACTATTATATAATAGCGTAGGGGGAAAAAAATCAGAACTGGGTGATTTGGAGTCATTTTTAAATAATTTTCAGAGATACACCAACCTTGTCATACCACTCATCATCAATGCGAGAATGACAAGTGGCCTCATATAACAGGGTTACCAATCACCAAACCAGCCCACAACTGAATTGAGGGAGAAAGTGCCCAGAACACGGCAACCTTGGACTTCACCTGGCTTTAGGGAATGCTGCTGAAACTATATTTCAGGGGCAAAAACTTGTTGCATTTGTGTAGAATTTGAATCTATTCACTTTAGCTACTTTTCATACCCTTTCAAAAGTTTTTTTTTTTTTTTAAAGATTTATTTATTTGACAGAGAGAGACACAGTGAAAGAGGGAACACAGCAGGGGGAGTGGAAGAGGGAGAAGCAGGTCTCCCACCGAGCAGGGAGCCTGATGTGGGGCTTGATCCCAGAACCCTGGAATTGCAACCTGAGCTGAAGGCAGACACTTAATGACTGAGCCACCCATGCGCCCCTCAAAAGTTATTTTTAAATACTTGCTCTCTTTTCTCAACACTATGGTAAGGATAGAAATTCTGATTTCTGTATTATACATTTTTGAAACTTTTGGGCAAACCACTTAATCATTGTATCTAATGGAACTCATAAACTTAATATGGGAAAAAAGAGAAAAGGATTCAGCCAAACAATGTATAATAGATATTTGGAGTTGATCCTGCAGCTTCTATATATTTTTTTTTTTTTCCCATTAGTCCTCATTTCAGTTTGGGGATCCATTTGTCTCGACAGAATCTGATTCAGAGGGTGGAGCATGTGACTTGGATCAGCATGTTTGACTCCTTGGTCATTGTCCTTCCTTGGTCATTGGTTCTAGGTGGACATGTGACTAAGCTGGTCCCACTAGTATAAATTTCAAGACCCCTGCTTGGAATTCTGCTCAGAATCAAGGCTTGTCAGTTATTCTAAGTGTCCCTTCTTTTCTTCCCTTCCTTTGTGTTCTCACCAACATTGTACACATCGAGGCCTTGATCTTGCTCCCTCCATCTCCCTACATTGTCTGCTCCCTTGAATCTGTCTTCCTCACTCTTGCTGGACTTATATCCCCAAAGAGACTTTTAAAACTTTACTGAATACCCCATTAATGGAAAAATAAAGTGAATATCACTCAGCCTGGTGTTCTGTGCAGTCCATTCATTGCAACCATTCTAGCTCTTTAACCTGGTTCAACTGAAACACAGGAATACAGAGACTTTCTTTCTTTCTTTTTTTTTTTTTTTTTTAGATTTTAATTATTTATTTGACACAGAGAGAGAGAGGGAGAGAGAGAGAGAGAGACTGAGAGCATGAACACAAGCAGGGGCAGTGGCAGAGGGAGAAGCAGGTCTTCTGCTGACCGTGGGATCATAACCTGAGCTGAAGGTAGATGCTTAACCAACTGAGCCACCCAGGTGCCCTAGAATGACTGGCTTTTTTGAGGATGAAAACTTTATGCATGGACTGTGTTCATAGTCCCTTCCAGGGGCTTTCTCAGGAGGCACTGAAATCTGAGAGCAAGTCTGTGGGTATTTATGCTGGTGAGTACCTCAGAGCTAATAGCCTCAGAGCTAACAACCCCAGGCCCTGTGAGCACCACCTTAATAAACTCTGCAGAATAGTGTGTCCTTGCAAAATTGTATCCCTCCCAGATGTTAAATAAACTTATTAAAGCAATATATATCTTGGCATGTGGTCAACTCTGAAATGATGGCCATTTTAAACGTTTGTGACTTGAACATAACCAAAACAGGTAGCAGTTCATGTTTAATTATTCTACCTCTTAGAACATGTGTTAGTATATACAATATATACTTTCTTGAGACACTCTGTAGTCAGAAGTCATGGAAAAAGTGTCTGTTGACTTACTGGAACCTGGGAATTAGTGCTGCATTGAGAGGAGAGAGTCTCTATTTGCTTTTTTAATAACGGAAACCCTGGCCCATGAAGGCCTGTGTGCTCCTAGAGAATGTGCTGAGCCCCAGCCTTGTTTTTCTCTTGCTTTCTGTGACAGAGTGCTCCTCCCCAAAAGCTTCTGCCAAGCCTTTATGCATGTTGAGTCAAAACATTCCGAATATGAGCTCATTGCATGTGAAAAAGGGCTTAAACAACAGCTCGATGTATGTAAGTAGGATGGACTTTTTCAGTCAGTGTTTCAATTAGAATTTCCTGAAGCTTGGACACCTGCGTGCAGTTCGTTCAATATTTCAGCATCCCCCCTCTGGGATGAAGTGCAGCCCTTGGCTTCCTGCTGTAGATTGAAAGAATGAATAAACATTCATTTGAAGGACTGTTTGGATAGCCTATTTATGGCTCTAGGTATTGTCTATCTCACTGGCTGATTTGGGGGCATACTTACGTATACAATGGCCCATTGTGCTGATTCCAAGTTCAAAATAAGAATTAACATTCATGAAAAACATCTCATCTACAGTTTTTATCTATTCTTTATTTTCATGGAGGAAGGGAGGTCAAGGAGTGAATTTGGATTGTTTAGGATGCAGGGTTAGGGAAAGCTAGGTGAGAATGTATGAAGAAGACAAAAATGGCTTGGGGAAGGAGAATGAGAGATGGATGGTGAGTGGATTAAAATGGAACTTGGTCTTCACTGTCTTGCCAAGTCTTATAGGGATGTCCGCCAACCTGGTACTCCCTATTCTCTCTGAGGATTGCTTAGCCCAGAACCTAGTGACCATACCAGCCAGAAGGTCGTCATGTAGTCACGTATTTGTGCTTGAATAACTGAATTTGATTTTTTTAAAGCTGCCCTAACCTGAATCCTTGACTTATTGGTGGTGAGATTGTGGAGAAGTATCCCAGGATATGACCCATCCTTCTAAGAATAGTGAAGAGGATGGATGAAAATCAGAGGAGGTGGTTCATTGACCACAAAGATTTATAAACCATGTTAAGTTCAATAGTAGATAATACATAGAGGAAAATGTCTTTCTTTGAATCATGCATGTTTATCAGTTTTATGTAGGTATTGATTGCCTTTGCCATATCAAAATGTTAGGCTTTTATGGGACTTTTCTTAAAAATGTCTCTTGGTCAAAGATGAAGAAGTTACTGAGTTGAATTTGGGGTAGAGTGGTCAGCCTAAGTTACTGAGTTGAATTTGGGATAGAGTGGTCAGTCCATGAGAAGGCAAACATGAACTCAGTGGAAAGTATTTTCACAGATGAAGAGGCTATGAAAATGTGAGACTCCTGATATATACTATGCCTTTCTTTTCTCTTTGCTTCTTTTTTCAGATGTCAAGTTTTCAAAGGACACACACACACACACACACACACACACACACACTTATCTTCTTTGATGACTCTAAATAAATGCTTATTACCAAGGGTAGAGGCAAGAAGCGTATCTCTCCTGTGTAACGTGGGATTCTCTCAGAAAACCCAAGGTGTCGGGCTCTTTGGGAGCCTAACATGGCTGGTGCCTTTCCAGATGAATGCTGGTGGGTAGGGTTTTCCCCCAGGTTATGAGACATGGCCTAGAGGGACTTTACATTTCCTGATGGTTATACCCAGCTCGGTATGGAATTGGAGTAGAATTGGAATCCATGTTCTAAGAGAAGAGGCTTTCCACATTGAGCTGGGTTTTCCAACTTCTTGGATCTCTTCTTCTCTTACAACTCACATTTGCAGCCCTCACTGACCTCAGAGACACTTGTCTTTTCATCTTTTCATCCAGCCCTAAGTCATCTAGCTGGATAAAATTTTGCTTTTTGGGGGAAGGGGTGGGGAGGGTCCTTTCCAAGTTAAACAAAGAGAAAGGAACAGTCAATGTGAGATGAACATACCTCTTCCTGCCTTGTTACATAGTTTTGTAAATCATAGTAAAACCCAACTCTGAATGACTGGAGGGTAGACCAAGTGAGTAGATGATCTGAAATACTGAGAATTATGAAAAGAAGGCAGGTTATTACTAACATGTATAAATAGGGACATGAACTAGTGGCTAAAGAAGTGTCCTGGGCACCGCCAGGTTGAGGGTGTGCTGGCTGCTTTAACGAATTGAGAAATGCCATGCTTCTTGATGGTAAGCAAATACTTACTGTTGAAATATTTGGAAACAGCTTATGCTCCTGAGTATCTTAGACTTCCTCCTATTTCCCTTGCTGCTGCTGACAGTAAGAATATGTTATAAAACCTTTTGCTGGTATAAACCTTAGACAACTTTGTACCCTGCCAATGATGAGCACATCATCAACAACCAGATTAATCAGCCTTTAGCATGGAGTTTGTATTGGGAAGTTGCTTGGACTCCACTGAGGAATGCTTAAGAGAAGGAGCAACGTGGAGTTGAGCCATTCAACTCAACATTTGTTGAGTCTCTCTCTGTCCTGCCCAGTCAGTTCTTGATGTGGTAAACTAGGGTCATCTGAGTTAGAGCAGCTAAAAACAAAAATAAACAGCACCAACACATTCTCTGAACCACACTGGAGCCCCAGACACGTCTTTAACTACTCACATCGCTCAGCCAAAAGGCCAGCAGGGGGTAAAACACAGATTTGAGTTTCACTTCCTCTCCCTTATTCTCCACTAACTCTGGGGGTTAGGGACTAGACAGTAGGAGGTGGAAAGAAGAGAAACAAAATCTGAATAACCACAAAAGCAAATGGCTTTGGGGTGAATTCTAAAGCAGACCACAGGAAAAGGAAATCACTAAATATTTGGGTTTTATCTCTCTCTGTGTGTGTGTGTGTGTGTGTGTGTGTGAGAGAGAGAGAGAGAGAGAGAACTTTTATTTGAGTCCCACTTCTCTTTAAAATACCATCTAGTCTCCCTTTGCATGTATCTCTCTGCTCCTAATTTCCTCCACATCTTGAACGGGCCTTGTGTTCATCTCTGAACATTATTTTCTTTTGAAGTTCGTGCTTCTTCCTCAACTTAGCTAAAATAGTGACCATTTATGAATTTCTTTATATTCTCCACTCTGGCTTCAAGTTTTCTACCAGTGTTTGAGAAGTCAGTCATAACTTATAATTTCTGAATTCCATTTTTTTCTTCTCCAGTTTCTTATAATGCAATATTTGATCTATTTTTCTAATTTCTAATTGTTCTTTTTCTCTGTGTTCCCAGAGGCTTTAGTTTTGATTCTCCCTTTCTGAAAAGTCCTCTGACCCAAAGGCTGTGTTACATTTGTATGAAACCAATGAAGTAAGGGAACAGAGGGCAAAGCGCCATTCAACATGGGGACAGTTTTGGGGGGAGGGCAAGAGACCCTGACTCATCCACAGCACGTCGACATCTGGCACAAATCCAGAGACTGTCTGGTGTAATCAGTTTTCAGCATGAAGTGCTCAAGGATAGGGAAAATCAGGGAGGTAAGATCTTCCCACCAGCCTCCTCCTACCTCATCTTGCTTCACTCCCTCACTGTTCAAGGGCTCTGCAGGTTCTGATGGGCACAGCTATCATTCTGTTTTGAGAATGCTACAAAAGACCCAGGTCCCCTTGGTAACCTTGGTATCAGAATCAAGGCTATTGCCCCGATAGGTTCCTGCTTTCCTGGGAACTACCTCTGGAGCTGGGAGTCTGTGCTGGTGCCAGTGGGTGACTTGGTGGGTGCTAGGGCCCCAATCTCTAACGGCTTTTCTTAGAACCACTTGCAACAAGTGTGTAGCAAAGCATGTCATCAAAATTATCATATGAATAAACACATAAAATAGTTGGCAAAACATCTGATTAAAACTATTATATAAAACAACATTTGAGGGGCACGTGGGTGGCTCAGTGGGTTAAAGCCTCTGCCTTCGGCTCAGGTCGTGATCCCAGGGTCCTGGGATCGAGCCCTGCATTGAGCTCTCTGCTCCATGGGGAGCCTGCCTCTACCTCTCTCTCTGCCTGCCTCTCTGCCTACTTGTGATCTCTGTCTGTCAAATAAATAAATAAAATCTTAAAAAAAAAATAAAACAACATTTGAAAAATAATTGGCAAAGCTTGCTTTGAAAATGCATTCCACCATAATTTATAGAAGGAAGACACTAAGAAAGTGCTGTACTTTGCCACTGCAAAAATGGATTGTTTAAAGGTGAAAATATCCTAGATTTTGAGTCTATTATTCTAAGAAACCCTCTAGGTAGATTTGTAGTCGCTGGTAATCAGCTGGTGAGCCGGGCAGCTAGTGATCACTTCCATTATGTAAGCTCAGCTCCAGCCCATTCTCCTAGTAGTTGGCCACCTCCCGAACCCCGTCTCCATCATCTCCCCAGCTCCTCTTATGGAACAATTCCAGAGCTTCCACTGGCTGCCAGTGAGGAGTGCAGGTGCAGGGATCATGACTGTGGCAGCATGTAGGGCAGAAAAAGACTCCATGATGGATGAGTTTGAAAACTCAGGAGTCCACTTTGATTTCTACTCATGTTGTTGCTATTGACTGACATTTATTTGCTATTTTGCATATGCCGAGAACTTCATATACTTTAATTGTAGTCCTTCCAACAACCTTGAATGGAAGATTTTTTTTTCTTTCCATTTTCTTGAACTAAACCCATTGGTTAGACAAATTAGAACACATTTAATGTGGCTCAGCTAGCCAAAGGCAAAGACCCCATGAAGACATCTGACTGTAGACCTGACCCTCTTTACTTGCACCCATGTCTCTGCAAGGATCATGGACTGACCTGTGGTATATAAAAACCCCAGCCGTGGGGAGATGGCTTTTGGCAAACTGTAGCCTGATTTTATTTACAATTCCATTTGATTATTTAGATAAACTCATTTCCCTTTGCAGGCACAAAAGGCCATCTGTGCAGCCCCAAACAACATTGTAAGCTCCTATCCAATTTCCTGTCTGCATATCTTTTTAGAGTAATTATGGCTCATCTCTCTAGGTTTCCATTGATATCTGTTTTGTTGATTTTCCTCCAGATGCATTGGGGGCTTATGTCCAAATTAAATATCATTTATTTCCTGCTTCTTATTTTTAAGTTTCCTTTGCCCTTTACTCTCTATGGGGTTTGTGTTATATTCCCATCGGTATCTTACAAATCTTGGAAGCAGGCTATAAACTACACATCCATGTCATGCGACAATAAGCACAAGACATTTGGTTTTCCCTAATCTTGAGCTCCTCAAGGTTGGACCTTGACCATAAGTAATGCTTGGCATCAACCACCAAAGACCACATCTGCCTTTCAACTTGAACACCCAGTTCACCTCCTCATCCACACCAGCCCCTCAGGCCATTAGGCAGGGCGTGATTTTCTCTAGCTCATAAATAAAAGTCAAGGCCAGCCAGATTGCAAGGCTTGCCCAGGCTTATGCAAGGATAGAACCATGAACAGGACTGAAAGCTTTTATGTCATGGCTGTAAAAGATTAAAACCATTCATGCTCCACATGCATTGGATGCAAAAATAATTGACAAGTATTTATTAAATTGCTCTTTATTTTTTGGCATAAAGAACAACTTTCAGGTTTCTATCTTAAGTGAGCTTTGCTCACCTTGGAGCAGCTTTGGGCGAAATGCTGACATCAATCAAGTGTGTTTTCAGCTTTGGGTATTCCACTTTGAGCTCCTTATCTGGAGTTTGGTTCCCACCACTCTATTCCTCTGGTGGGCTCAGAGTCTCCCTAGGTTACTCTTGTCCTCTCCCTGCCAACTCCACCTTCTGGGTCTCGGCTTTGAAGCTCTGGCCTCTTGGTGCTTCTCAAATCACAGCCTAATAATGAGGTCCTTTGCCCTTCGAGTCAAAGGTCCAGCTTTTGCTGGATTCTCAGTCTGGGACATCTAAGCTCAAAGTTCCCTTAGCTTTTCATTCCTAAATTTTTAAGATCTGCAAGAATGTGCTTGAGAGATTAGACTTTGATTTAGAGCCACATGAAGAGGTAAGTGACCGATGTCGTATCTGCTCCTGTGCTGGCTTTAACGAGCATGAGAAAGAAGGGCGAGGGGATGAGAATCCGATGGGCCTGGTGCAGAACGGGAGCCCTGAGAGAGTGGACAAGGCACATGGGAGGCAGCCTGGGAATGTACATTTCGAAACCAGTGGCAATGAGTGGGTTTCAAAATGCTGCTGACTTCACAAGTGCACTGACCCTTCTGTGGGTCGCTGCTTCTCACACTGATTGCTTCTCTCCAGAATTCTTGTTTAAAAAAAAAATCCATTTAATTATTCATTGCTGGAGAGAGTATAGAGAAATAGATGGTAGATATTAGTGCATCCCTTTGAAAAAAATTGTACTTTTGGCCAAGAGTCATAACAATGTTTATGCCCTTTGAATCCATAATCCTTTTTCCAGGAATCTAGCCTCAGAAAAGAATCCCACATTTAACCTGCAAGCCTGCTCCACAGTAGGGTGGGGGTAGGGTGCAAATACCCATTTTCTAGTTGGTTACTTGAATTTCCAATGCTCATTAGCAGGAAGTTGAGTCTTTACTTTTTGAGACTTCCCATCACCCCCTTTATTGGTCAAGAACACTAGGTGCTTTATTCAATCCAAAGAGAGTCAGAGAAGAAGGGAATCGGAGTAGTCCACAGCAGAACCTCCAGGCTCAGTTATTGTTGCTTCTGTTATTAGCACCTGTTCTACTTTTGAAAACGGTCCAGGGCATCCATGTCCAGGGTCATACTGAGGTCCCTATGAGCACCAGCACTTGCCACAGGAGCTCTTTGAAACATAATCACGTGCCTCAGTGCTGCTTATTAATATCTCCACATTTTGGCTCTTAAGGTTCCAGCTCAGATACCTATGTTGTCATGTTCATTCATCCTTCCCAGAACAACAGCATCCTTCCCAGGACGGAGTGGCAGGGTCCAGAGGTGTTTTGACATCAGCCACGTGATGAGTCCAGGAATCCACCATGTTACATCTGGACCACTAGCCTGAGTCTCCCTTTCCTCTTGGCCTTTGCCTCAAAGGTCTCATTGTCTTTCCTGGCCATAGGACCTTGGGAGGTCACACCAGTTCCCCCCTCTTGGTTTCTCTGGTTTTGAATTGTGGGGAGTAGGTTTTAGATATTAGTTTTTCTCTGCTAAGGCAATCACTGAGTAGTGATCTTCTATTGAAAAAAATATTAGCTTTTTTCTCTCTCTCTTCTTTTAGAGTGAGAGAGAAAGAGTACGGGTTGAGGGTGAGGTGGGAGGGGCAGAGGGAGACAGAGAGAGAGAGAGAATCTCAACATGGTACTTGATCTCACGACCCTGAGACCATGACTGGAGCTGAAAGCAGGAGTTGGATGCTTAACCAACTGAGCCACCCAGGTGCTCTTCAGCTTCTCTATTTTAAAACCAAAAATAAAACCCTTATATGAGCATGCAGATATTCACTGAACAACTGTTTATAAAAGTCAAATATGAGAAGAACTGAAGATATAGCATTGGGAAAGTAGGATAGGTCCACTCAGTGAGACAATGTGCAGCTATTAAAATTCCGATTATGAGATTATGAGAAAACATGGGTGTTTCCCTCCTATTTTCAAACTTTCTTTTGATTTGTCAAATTGAAAGGAATAAAAGACTCTTAGAATTAACTGTGGACATGAAGCTGTTGCTGACAGGACTTGCTAATGATTTGCTTGGGAAAGTGAGGGACAGAGGACTTTAAGATGACTTTCAAATGTTTGCCTTTAATATGAGGGTGCGTATTTGTGTTGTTTACTGAGATGGGGAGGCAAAACTGGGGCAGGGAAGAGCTTTTTCTGTCTATACTGAATTTGAGATGCCTCTTAGACATTCCTGGGGATGCAGAGCAGACAGTGGGATGAGGGACCTGAGTTGGGGGAGAGGTCACTGGTATCAAGGGGAGATATTTTACACTTGAATAGTATCAGTATGTAGAAAAACATGAGATCAGATGAGCTCACTTAGAGAGAGGGGAGAGAAGGACAGGATAAAAAGATCTAGACAGTCTCCAGTCGTTCCAACATTTGGAGACCAGACAGAAAGGGAAGCCAACAAAAAGTCAGAGACAATGCAGCTGGTTAGGTAGAAGGAAAAGTGAAGTGGCATCATAGAAACTGGGAGAGAAGAAGACTTTACCGAGGGAGTGGTTGATTGCATCGAAGGCAACTGAGAAGTCAGTAAGATGAAGACACAGAGGTAACTTTTGAATTGGCAAAGGAGGTTGCTCATGACCTTGAGATCAGCAGATTCAGTGGCATAGAGAGGAGGAAGGTCTGCTGGGTTTGGTTGAGCTAAAACTAAGAGCTGAGGAAGTGAAGCTGGGACTGTAATTCTTTCAGGAAGTTGCGCTGTGGAAGAGCTAAGGAATGAGATGTGCCTGGAGGGAGAAATGACTGCTCGTGGAAATGATCCAGGAGAGTGGGAGAAACTGATCATGTAGGGAAGAGAGAGGTTAATTGCGGGAAGGATGAGAGAATGGTATGCAGAGCCCTACCAGAGAAATCGGCCTTTAATGGAGTGGGCATGTGCACAGACTCCTTGGCACAGTACCTGGTACAGATAATAA